TGTGTGTGTGTGTGTGTGTGTGTGTGTGTGTGTGTGTGTGTGTGTGAACGCTGCAGAATTGTACAGCCAGATAAAATCCTTTCCCTGCAAGAGTTGCAGTCTCAAACAATACGCCCTAAATGCTCTGCAAGTAAACCTAATAAGTCTGACGCAGCTAAACTGTGGGAGATATTATTCCTCTTTCATCGGCAGCAAGTGAACAAATGATAATTGCAGTGAATGCATTCCTCCCGGCACCAATCATTCTGTAAACGGTCCAAACAGCTGCAAGTTCCCTCGGTCGCCTTCCTGCACGTCTCACTGTGGAAACAAACTCTTTATAAACTAGACTGAAAGGAGAAAATGAGAGTCACACCTGACTTCTTTCTTGCTGAGTTTATTATTGATAACCAGTTTTTTTTTTATTATGTAATCAGCGCAATATGTTCTATTGATCTGAACCCAGAACGAAGCACCGTTATTGCTTTGATGTCTAAAATCGCTGAAGCATTTTTTTTTTTTTTTTCCTGATCATTAATAGTTTTATAGATTCACTTACGTAGGAATAATTCAATTTAATCTTATTTAATTCAAGTAATAAGCATCATATTGATCAGATGATTTCTTCTGCTGGTCATTATATAAAGAATAATTCAACTGGAATTCTATGTTCTGAGCATAATCAAAAACAAAAAATTAAAATCATAAAAATCAAATATTGCTTGAAGGGAATTCTGCTCATTGATTTCTAGCGAACACAAAAGATGATGAACTTTTTTTCACCTCACGCAGAATATTTGCTGCAGGTTTTCTCCCTCAGTGAACGGAAACATTTAATAAATCTCCTCTGTCGTGTTTCTGCACAAATTACAATATAAAAAGGAATCGATCACAGAAGACACGTTAAAGAAGTAATCATGTGACGTCTTAGTGGGCTGCGGCTAATTATGCTTGACGCTGATTGGTCCGAAGGTCTGAGGAGCCTTTCCACACCTGATATTTGACGATGCAGGTTCAGTCTCAGTCGTCACCAGAGAAGAATCTGTTTGTGTGATTTTGTCGACCACAGTGTGTTTTTGTTGTGCTGTGTAAAAGAAACCAGAGTCGAGCGGTCGATGCGTCTCTGGGACGTAACAAATCCATGACCTTGGTAAAGAGTGTGTGAGTGTGTGTGTGTGTGTGTGTGTGTGTGTGTGCGTCAGGACGACCCCTGGCTGCCCTGACACGGTGGCGTGTGACTCACCTGCTTGTGGTGGTGGTCGTAGGAGTTGATGTGGTTGTCGTACTGTTGGTGTCTCACGTACTGCTTGTCACACAGCTCACAGTAGAAGCTGGAGTCGGCCTCCTCCTGGAGAACGAGAGAAGAGGGAAAGAAGGTTTTAACATGAATGAGTTTCCGTTTTGTTTTATTGAAACGTTAACGAAACAAACGTCCGTTAATTTATCACTTCATGATGATTTTCATTTCGCTCAGACTCAGGTCACATGTCCAGTTGTGGTCAAATAATCCATTAAGCATCGAGCGGTGATCCATCTACAATCTTTCTGATATTTGATAAATGGTTCGTTGAGTATTTTGACATTTAAAGAAGTTCCTCAGAAACTGTGATGGGCTCATTATTCTGTCACTTTATCAACCGAACAACCAAATTAATTAACGGGGAAACTATGTGTTGATTGATTGATAATGACGATCATCGTTTGTCACCTCACTCCACTTTAAGTTATCGCCCCCCTCAGAGAAAAACCCTTCGGCATATTTTCTCCATCGTCTCCATTTGACTCCATAGGCGCCGATTAAACAAATAATAAGAACATGTAGAAGAATCCTGTTCACAATCCGTCAGGTCAAGAGAACAGAAATAAAAACGCGCTCTCCGCGTCTTATCAGACAGAACCAGAGGAGGAGCTGTCGTATCTCGTTTGCATAATTATAAATCATGACTTTGTTGCAGAGTTGGTCATAAAAACAAAATGAAAAAAGAAAATCTGAGTGTGTAGGTGGGAGTGGTGAGTTACAGTCACAGCCAGTGTCGCTCGTAAAGTCTGTTTATGGGGACGTATATTCATCATACTCAGGCTTTTAATTTGTCGCCTGTCATATACTGTGTGTGTGTGTGTGTGTGTGTGTGTG